ATATAGTATAAGATATCTAGATATAGATAGGGCGGAGCGGGAGCGAAAGCTCATAGTCGCTCTTGAGCGAATTCACCCCGCTTGGACGCAATAGATAAGTTAGATAAGCTTTTTTTTTTTTTTTTTTTTTTCGCGGTCTTTCAGAATTTGGAAATGGCTTGTGCATCAATAAGAGCATCAGCTTGCATTCCTGTATTCATCATAAAGCTTAGAGGCCCAGACGACCGAGGGGCGCTCAAGAAACGATTTGTTAGAGTATATTAAGTTATTTGTTAATTATTAAGCTAAGAGGAGTTAGTAAGGAAATTTAAAATTCTATATTTTAAATTAGAGGGACAGGAAAGAGATGTAATAGAGTAGAGACCATTGTAGTTCGAACATAATACCCTAAAAGGGTCATGCAGTGCATATGTCGAACTACAACGGCTAAGGAACAGAGGACTAAAGTTTCGAGTCCTTCTATTAGGAATGTTGAAATTTAAGCGTGTTAGTAAATGCTGGCTATCTACATCCCCGTTAATAAGGTTATGCAGAAAAACTACACCAAGCATTGTCCTACGATTTGTTAAGCTAGGTAAGTTAATAAGTAAAAGTCTGCTACTGTAGGATGGAAGCTGAAGATTTGCATCCCAGTATAGACCTCTAAGTGCAAATATTAAAAAGTTCTTTTGTACGGATTCTATGCGGTCCTAATGTACTCCATATTGGGGACTCCAGACACATGAACCGTACTCTAGTATCGGACGGACCAAAGAAATGAATAAAGTTTTGGTTATATAGGGGTCATTAAATTCTTTTGACCACCTTTTAATAAAACCAAGGACTCCTTTAGCCTTATTAACCATTAAGGAAATATGGTCGGCAAATTTAAGTTTTATGTCTAATAGGATGCCAAGATCATTAACCTGGGTTAATTTTTCTAAGGCAATCCCATTAATGGAATACGTAGCTTGCAGAGGGCAAGAACGATAAAAAGACATATGCTTGCATTTTGATCCATTAAGTATTAGATCATTAGCCAAACACCATTTTTGAAAGTTATCAAGGTCAGACTGAAGACTGCATTGGGTAGAGATGGATTTGTACTGAAGACAAAGCTTTACATCATCTGCATACATAAGAACTAGAGAGTTCGTTAAAGCAGGGGGCAAGTCGTTTATAAAAAGCGTAAATAATAACGGGCCAAGATGACTTCCTTGAGGGACGCCGGATGTAGCACGGACCAGACGGGACTGTATGTTTTTAAATAAGACTCTTTGTGTCCTTCCATCTAGGTAGCTGGAGATCCACGTTAAGAGGTCTTTAGGAAAACCCAGCATATTCAGTTTACTCAACAAGAGTGAGTGATTAACTGAATCAAATGCTTTGCTGAAGTCTGTGTAAATTACATCGGTTTGATATCCCTTACAAAAGCCATCTATGACAAAGGATGTCAACTCCAATAAGTTTGTGGTGGTGGAGCGACGCTTAATAAAGCCATGCTGACAAGGAGTGATGATCGAAGAGCAAAGGTGTTGCAAATGAGGGGTAATTAATTTTTCAAATAACTTTGGAATTGCCGACAACTTAGAGATGCCTCTGTAGTTGGCAGCCTCGGACTTTTCCCCTTTTTATGTAGGGGAATTATAAATGATTCCTTCCACTTAAGGGGAAAAATCGAGGTTTCCAAAGATAAGTTGAAAAGTCTTAGAAGAGGTTTGCACAGAGCCCTGGCGCAGTATTTTAGCACACAGCCTGGTACCCTTAAAAGACCAGATAATAAGTTGTTCTCAGAAAAAGACGGACAGAAAATAAGATTTGCTGCTTGAATTTTATATGCGTAAGGCTGATCAGTCAATTTAGGAGGAGAATAAGTTGTTTGAAAAAATTCTGCGAATAGATCGGCAATGGCCTGATCCGAAGTCGCAGAGGAATTTTCAAACGTAAGCAGAGGTGAAAAAGATACGTGTTTACGCTTAGTGTTTACAAAATTATAAAACTGCTTTCGATCCTGAGTAAATTGAATCCGGCAGCGGTCAATATAATTCCTATAACATTCAGCGTTATGCACGGTAAAATTCGACCGAGCTAGTAGGTATCTTGAAAAATCAACACTACTGCAGGTTTTTTTATATTTAAGTAAAAGCTTATTTTTTTAATTTTTTAGGTTAGTGAGGCACCTTGTATACCAAGGAGGATTTGTTGAAACGGACGGATGTTTCCAAGGCACACATGAGTCAAAAAATGTATTTAAAGTAAAATAAAATTTTTCTAAAGTGACATTAAGATCAGTGCACGCCAGAATATCAGACCAGTCATATGTATCGATAAGGCTATTAAGTTTCTGAAAATCAGCTTTACGGAAACAGCGAATCTTATTTACCACGCTCGGAGACATCTGATCGATACCAGGAGTGGTTTCGATTGAGACCTCCAGCGTGGGGTGATATGGATCCTCTGGGGCTGAAAGGGGAAAAGCTCTGGAGAGAGCGGTACCATCCGGATCAGATACAAAACATAAGTCTAAGAGCCGACCTAGCGAATTTCTAACATGATTGATCTGACCTAGGGACATGTCAAACATGCCCGCGGTGAAGTCATGGTAAGTTATAAGTGACAAAGATGGTGAGTTATCGACGTTGGACCACTTTAATTCTGGGATATTAAAGTCGCCCACCGCTACGAGTTGGTCACGATCCGTCATAAGATTAGAGACGTATCGAATGGCGGACAAATGCTGCCAATATGTAGGCGGTTCAGACATAGGAGGTATATATGAACATGTGATGTATAAAGCTTTAACGGACATAGTGATTTTAACGCAAATAAATTCTATGTCACCAAACTCATGGGATTTCACCTCTTCAGAAAAAAGAGTAGAGTCTACCGAAATGAGGACTCCACCTCCTCTTCGCTGAGATCGATCCCGTCTAAAAGTGGTGTACTTACTTGGAAAAACTTCGGAGCTAAAGATCTCCGGATTTAACCAAGTTTCTGTAAATGCTATTATATGGGATGCAAAGAAAAAACTATCAGAATATAGCTTGGGGAGTTTGCTACGTAGCCCCCTAGTATTCTGATAGGTAAGAGTTAGTGAGGAAATTAGTTTTTTGGGTTAGTGGCCAAAGAAGAGGTGGAGGGTTAGTCAGTGGTTCCGATATTGGGAAGTCTCACTCCCACTGGTTTATTAACTTTTTTTTTACGGAACTAGGCTGATGTTCTTGGACGAAAAGATTCTCTGGCCAAAAACTGGGAGAACAAATCGTCTTGAACATCAGCGCGGGCACACGAATCTTGAAAGAAGACGTGCGCCTTGTATAATTGTATTTAAATTTTTGTATGTCCTCCACCTTTATATCGGCTTTAGTTTTGGCTTTGATATAAGCCGAGATATCAATCTCTGAAGTATCAGGGGCAAGCCGAGAAACAAATATATGTTTCGATGGAGGAATCACCTGTAAGGGTTTTGGTGTCGCAGGTACAAGAACTGCAGCATCAGTCGGTGCCGGTGGTCCGGACTGTGGAATACCCTTTTGGGTGACCCTAATGGGGGTTTCGTTCCCTAGGACCTGTGGCATCACTTGAAGGGATGCCATGGCGGACATATCGGACAATTGCTCATTATCCCTGAGAAATTCGGACGAATTTTTCTCAGTTAAGGCCCTTGGGGTGGCCAGAGATATAAGCGGCTGCATTAATGTCGGCTGAGCAGGCTGAGGCGGATCAGAAACAGCGGATTTCTTACGCTTAGGGGACTCATTTAGCAGCTGAAGGCCACTAATTTGAGTGTCAAGCGCACAGAGCTGGTCATTGATTTTACGAAAACCAGTGATCAGCTCTTTAAATCCATTTTTGGTCTGTCTCATGAACGACCTCATTTCGCCTTGCACAGCACGACAATTTTCGCAACAATAATGTATCCCAGACCTACGGGAAATGGCATCCGAAACTGATGCAGTGAAACCGGCACACTTGGCGTACACGACGTTTTCACATAACCAGCAATGGATACTAGGCTGGGATGTGGAAATTGTCTTGTTGCAAGACTTAATGGCACAGACCAGTTTAAATTCCATTTTATTTATTATTTTTTTTTTTTTAATTTAATAAGACAAAAATTAATATTTAAAAAGTTAAAAAACACAATACCTTGAACCACTGTGCCAAACAAGAAGCCGAAGCGGGAGCTTTGAAAGAGTGCACAAGAGAAATGCAGAAAATATAGATAAGCCGGGGAAGAAGCAGAGCTGAGCTATGCTTGGAATAGAATTTAGACAAATTATTAATTCGATTCCAAATATACCAAAGCACTCGCGAAGCGATACGGTTTAGGCTTTAAGATTGTTATGATTCACAAGATTTAATTCACAAAGTATGTAAACACCGGTTTACCAATATTTATCAAAAACGCAGTGCGCACAAAAAAAACACGACCGTTCGCTTGAAAGAAAGAGAGGGAAGTGAGCTTAATTTTAGAGAAAAGAAGATAGATGGAATTATAACGATGAAGAGGTCACATCCTTCGTTCGTTTTATATTTAGCAGCCTTTTTTTTTTTTTTATTTTTTTTTTTGTTTGTTTTTGTTTTGTGAGAGATAAACTAATTTTGTTAAACGCTCTATCTCACCCCGGACCGGAACATGGTGTTACGAGAGTCAGCCTGGCTGAGGGCCCGGCCTAGAAATTTTCCCTAGAGGGCTTAGAATTTAATGGAAGGCTCAGGATACCTGGCCGTATCCTGGCCGATTGATCCTCGATCTAAAAAGCCTTTCTTGAGTATCGCGGGTCTTCGCCCGGTTGGACTATCTTTTCTATGCTATGGAGCATTTAAAGAAAACAAAACATACGGAGCTGTGATCTCCTAAAAAAACCCAATCAATTGGCGTTGACGTTGAGAAGATGGCGAACGAGCCCACCGGCTAGGCCCACTCCGGTAGGACCCGTCCCAAACTGGGGATGGTTCGAAGCAAGCCATCCCAACCTGCCACCATGGTTGGCAGTGTAAAGGTATTTACGCAGCGTTTATAGAAAACTGCGGTAGGAGAGCTTGGCGAAGTCTATGAGGGCGACAAATTTGTTGCGTTGAGCTGGTGTAACGTCCCCTGTAGGCCCCGAGCGAGGATCTGGATCCCAGCCACTATCAAGAAACTCACCATCTGGCTGGATGCACACCTTTTCACAAGGGACTGGCGAGTAGCGAAGGTGGAGCAAATAGAAGGAGCGACCGACCAAGCGCTCTTCGTCAATCAATAAAAAATCGGTAGCTTTAACAGAGGCCGTTAGCCTGGGGCTAAACTTAAATTTCAGTTCGTTGATTGTCAAGGTGTACAGATCTGACTCGGGAGGCGATGCAACAGCAGCTAAAATCTCGGCGGAACTGGACTAAGATATTGAAGCTACAGACGCCAAGGACGGGCTTACAACGGATTACAACCCTTGCAGAGGGTATTATAATTTTGTCCAAAAGTGTGCAACGCAGTGAATGGTATAATTTTGGTGTTTTTAGACTTAGAGACTTCGAATTTTGCATGAATTCTATTTTTGCTAAAGAATACCTACCAAATTTCATAAGGATAGGCCGACAATATCCTACATTATTATTTTTGGTCAAAAGTGTGCAACGCAGTGAAGGAGACATCTCCGACCCTAAAAAGTATATATATTCTTGATCAGGATCACCTCCTGAGTTGATATGAGCATGTCCGTCTGTCCGCCTGTCCGTCTCTCTGTCTGTCTGTTTCTACGCGAACTAGTCTCTAAGTTTTAAAGCTATCGACTTGAAACTTTGCACACACCCTTCCTTTCTTTGCACGCAGTATATAAGTCGGAACGGCCCGGATCGGCCGACTATATCCTATAGCTGCCATATAACTGATTGATCGGAAATGGTATAACTTCGGTGTTTTTAGAGTTAGAGTTCAAATTTTACACGAGCGCTATTTTTGGCAAAATAATACGACATGCCAAATTTCGTAAGGATCGGCCGACTATATCCTATAGCTGTCATATAACTGAACGATCGGAAATGACCCAACTTTCGTGTTTTTAAAGATAGAAAGCTGGAACTTGGTACAGATTATATTCTTGGTCAGTTAATCCGATCTACTAAATTTCATAACGATCGGCCGACTATATCTTATAGCTGCCATATAACTGAACGATCGGAAATGGTTTTTGGTAGAAATACCAACTTTGGTATTTTTGAAGATAGAAGCTTGAGACTTTTTTTAGATTTTGTATTGTAATAAATTGGATTATATATTTATATTCCCATAAGGATCGGCCAACTATATCCGATGTTTGCGATATATATCCGGTTTAAACTGCAATGGTATATAAACTTCGGCTCCGCCCGAAGTTAGCTTTCCTTTCTTGTTATACCCTTGCAGAGGGTATTATAATTTTGGTCAAAAGTGTGCAACGCAGTGAAGGAGACATCTCCGACCCTATAAAGTATATATATTATTGATCAGGATCACCTCCTGAGTTGATATGAGCATGTCCGTCTGTCCGTCTGTCCGTCTGTCTGTCCGTCTGTCTGTCCGTCTGTCTGTTTCTACGCAAACTAGTCTCTCAGTTTTAAAGCTATCGTCTTGAAACTTTGCACACACCCTTCTTTCCTTTGCACGCAGTATATAAGTCGGAACGGCCCGGATCGGCCGACTATATCTTATAGCTGCCATATAACTGATTGATCGGAAATGGTATAACTTTGGTGTTTTTAAAGTTAGAGAGTTCAAATTTTAGGTGAGAGCTATTTTTGGCAAAATAATACGACATGCTAAATTTCGTAAGGATCGGCCGACTATATCCTATAGCTGCCATATAACTGAACGATCGGAAATGACCCAACTTTCGTGTTTTTGAAGATAGAAAGCTGGAACTTGGTACAGATTATATATTTGGTCAGTTGATCCGACCTACCAAATTTCATTAGGATCGGTCGACTATATCCTATAGCTGCCATATAACTGAACGATCGGAAATGGTATTTGGTAGAAATATCAACTTTCGTATTTTTGAAGATAGAAGTTTGGGACTTTTTTTAGATTTTGTATTGTAATAAATTGGATTATATATTCCTATTCCCATAAGGATCGGCCAACTATATCCGATGTTTGCTATATATATCGGGTTTAACTGCAAGGGTATATCAACTTCGGCTCCGCCCGAAGTTAGCTTTGCTTTCTTGTTTTTAATTTTAACTTGATGTGCTCGAATACCATACGAGTCTAAGTTCCACGCGTTCAAAATCTTTACATGTTTGTATGGGATATATTTTGGTATATTAGTATTGGAATTGGTATATATGTATATATCTATATCAAAATAAAAAAACTTTTCTGTACTAGGGCTACAAAAATTTAGGATTTGTGGGAGCGGGAGAGAGAGTGGCTAACGACTGGTTTGAACGAACTTGAACGGCGTGGCAATTACACAGTGCGACAAAAAAAAAATTGGAGGAAACCGTGTTTGAAATATTTTTAAGACCCTCAAAATCTTGATTTATTTAGAAAAAACGTTTTTTTTTGGGACTTTTTTCTTCTTAAAAATTCCTCAACGCGTAATTTTAGCTGATTTTAAATTTTAGACGTTTTTTAATAGTTAAATGTTGTAGCTTTTGAAAAAAAATTTAATTAATTGAAACAAAAAAGATAAATTTTTACACAAGAAACTGACATTTTTGAATTTTTGTCGTGTTTTTTGGACTTTGACGCCATTTTTTCGGTTCAACTTCGAAGAAATGGTATCATTTTTGATACATATAAATATTGTCTCATTAATCCTGACTAAAACGAGACGAATTTTATTAGGATATTACGAAAATTGTTGAAGTTATAACGCTTTTCCCAAAAGAAGTCAGTGCAATTTTACTAGCGCCCGGAGTAAAACTGTGTAAAAGAAAAGAATAATCGAAATGGAAGGGCACACTATTTCTCCGGAAATAGTAAATCAAGATTTTGAGGGTGATAGAAATTTTTCTAAGACGGGTTTGTACTTTATTCGACCTAATAAACAATTCCTACTAGGTCTCTTCCAAAGTTCCAAATCACTGTCGCACTGTGTTATAGGAGTCTCAATAGTAATACTATTTATCAATATTATTCTTAATTATTGTTATTATTATTAATTAATTATTCTCGTTTTTTGTCGATTCACTTGACTTTGGTTTTAACCTCAGCGCCGAATTTCTTTTGACTGCCCACGGTTCTCTGAATGCATTCTTGCATAGTCGGCACCTGGCAGTGTGGCTCTGGAGTTGTTTAGCTTTAAAAATGCGTTGCAGAGATTTATAAAATTTTGAAATTTGAAATCAAAAGATTATACAGGTTCGAATACACTCTTTGGAGTGAAAAAAATGCATCTGCATCCAAATAAAGGCGAGCAAGTTTGATGAAACGAAATCGTAAAGTGAAATTAACAAATTTTTCAAGTTTTCGAAGTTGAAGTCTGTCGCATAACAACAAATGCTAAGCCCATCCAATTTTCAATCCTAAAAAATAATTAATGTACATACGTATAAACCTATAAAAATGTTATTTCTAGAAAATTCATTATTGATTTTAGGAAAAAATTTCAAATAAAACTTTATGTAAAAAAACCCATAAAAAGTGTATAAACTCACTTTTGGTAATGTGTATCCATCCAAAAACCAAATAATATTAGGAGTTGGGTTTCCACTGCAGCTGCATTTTAATGAAATGAAATGGCCAGGCTGCAAAGTTTGCTCAATAAACTTGTAATTGAAATGGGGTGAGACTTCTAAAAAACAATAGTATGTGAAGCAAATATATTATTTTGTTAGGAAACTTTTAACATATTTTTTAGTGGAATTTTTTCTAATAGTTCTCATATTAGCTTAAATTGTGTTTTATTAGATACATACAATATGTTAATAATATTTCATTTGATTATACCCTGTAAACGATAGAAGGATACACACATGATTATAATACTAAGCACAGTTTTAAACTTTTCAAATTAAAGCCGTTCCTTTTTTTTATATGTATATACAATGTACCCACCCTAATATACATATATGTAGATAATCTGTGACAGAAAGCAACTAACACTACTTTTTATTTATATCAACCCAAATACACAGCAACTCTGTTTGGGCTTGGGTTTGTGTCATATTTGAGTGGCGAAGTTGCAGTGTACTGACTGATAAAATGTACCTGAGAACCAGAATCTAAGAGAGTCCGGAAAGGAAACATCGCATCAGAAGGGAACTATGTTGGTAGCAAAGCAATATCCGAATGGAGATCCTGTGCCAGAAGTGAATTGGCGGGAAGTGTTGCTTGGTGTTGCTTGGTCAGCATTCTTATCAGGCGGTGAGGATCCACGGGAGCACTCTAAGCTGAGCGGAAATAGCGCCATTAGCCGCTCATATTACAACGACGCAGAAATCAAAGAACAACGACGCAGAGGACGCCATTTTTACACAAAGGACTTGCAGAGGACGCCTTTTTTAAGACCACGCAGTTGCCCACAGTAGAGCTAAGAGCTACGCGTCAGACAATGACGAAGTATACGACGAAGAAGATAACAATGAAGCAACGACGAAGCATATATTGCCCGGAAAAATATCCCGCACGGCAGTTTAAGAGTTCGCAGAGAGCGGGCCAAGAAATAACCACACCCTCAAGCAGCACAGCGCTGGAGGGCGGTGATCAGCAATACAATCGGTGCTGCCAAAGGAAGATAAGTTCTTCACTGCGCCAAGTCGAAAATACGCAGTCACCACAATCCGCTGGAAAAGTTATCGTCGCAAGGATAAGGAAGAAATTCGCACTACACCCTTCGCAGAACACCCACACCATGCCGAACACCTCTCGGCTAATGTCACCCATGCCTGAAACAGGCGACACAAGGTTCGTCATTTCAGCAAGAGGCAGTATTGAAGCAGCTGGCACCCTCCTACGAGAATGCACGATATCGGGGTCCAGCCTAACAACCCCCACGTCATGCTGCGATGCGCACCCAGAAAGGAAAAGCTCATTCGCAACGCTAGCACTAAACACCCTTAGTTCCGGAGCCTTGGAATCAACAAACAACGCTGTGGCACACCGCAATATAATCACGCTGTGGCAATATAATCACAACAAAGATGTGAGATGTATAATATACTTTGGCACAAATGGTACCACTTTTATTCGTCCGACTCCGTCGGCGTCGATCAAACAATTAATTCTCTTCTCTCCCCCGAGCCTACTCGTTGGGAGAGAGAGCCTCGCTCTTCATCTCCCCTCAGCTCTCTGATGCTGGTGCATGTCTCAACATCCCTCCTTTTCATTTTAGACGGAGCTTCAGGATCTTGTCTTCGCCTTTCGTCTTCCGTGTTGCTAGAGGTTCCTGTGGATTTTGTGTCGCTTGGGTTGGCTGTAAAGAGATAGTTGGGAAATATAAACTGTCATCCATGGTTGGAGTCGTTGGGCATTCGTCGAAGATCTTTTTCAAGTGACTGACGTTCCTACTAAACGATTTACCCCCAACCGACTCCTAAACTACATTTCCTTTCCGATTGGTAACGAAGTAAGTACGAGATAAGTAGTTACGAGGTAAGTAGTCGTGTCGAACGAAATCATTATCTTTCTCTTCTGAGTCTTCTTTATGCTTGGTATTCTATCTTTAATAACTCTGTTAAATATCAATTTTGTGGGTGGTGCTCCCGTCGTGCCATATGGGGTGACGTTGTACATTGGTACGAATCTTTGAATCTCTTGTTTGTTGTTTATGTTGTTAGCGTGGGCTATTTTTAAACGCTTTATCAGAGCTTTGTTCATGTTTTTGACTCATGTTGACAGAGCTTGAATACCATTGTTCGCGCAAAAACTCTTTAAACTCGGCGCTTATGAACTTTCTTCCATTATCAGCCGTTAACGTTTCCCAGAAATCTAAGCTTGCAAAAATCTCTTCCATTTGTTCGATAATAGTTTTGAAAGTGATCGATTTGATTAGTTTAAATTCTATATATCGTGAGTAGTAATCAATCAGAACCAGTATATAACCGTTTGGTAAGGGACCAAAAAATTCTGTCGCAACACATTTCTATGGGCCAGTTGGAAGCTGGCGTCTCTCCATCGGTGCTGGCTTTGATGGGATCGAGACGAGGAGGTAATCTCTGCATTCTTTCATGTGTTGCTCAGTATCCTTATCCAGGCCTGGCCACCAAACTTTTGAACAAAGTCTCCGTTTCATCGCACTTATGCCTGGGTGTCCTTCGTGTGCAAGTTCAAGGTCAGTCTCTCGAAGTTTTTGTGGTATTACCAATTTAGTGCCCTGTAATAGGATATTTCTGACAATTGAAATCTTCAATCGAAAAGGATAGTACGGACTTAACATGTTCAGGCTCCACGAATTCCTATCAGGGTACGTCATCTCGTCGAGTATTTCCTCGTCTTAAGTACTCGTTTAAGAGACTTATGATATGATTTCTAATATGTAGTACGTCGAGTTATTTGGGTTTTCCAGTGCTGTAAAGGATGAGAGGGAGTCAGTGCAAATAGCAAATTTTCTTTTTTGCCTTTCCGCATATCTGCAAGCGTGGAGAATGGCTGCTACTTCAGCGGTGAAAATGGATGAATAGGAAGGAAGTATTTTCTGAGTTATGAGCTGTTGTGATGAGGTTACGCTGTAGGCAACTCCCTTGTAAGATTTGGAACCATCTGTGTATAAGAATGTGTGCTTTTTGAGAGTATATTTTATTTTTAAAAAATTTTTATTGTAGACTATTGGTGGTGTGTTTGGCTTTAAAAAGGTGTGTAAGGATTTGTTTATTTTCGAAATAGATGATAGTTTTAATGTGGCAGTTGAAACTAGTGCTAGATAGACATTTTATAATATTTAGTCTTTTAGAAATTTGTGTTGTTAGTCGATCTATGAGCGCATCCCATTTATACAGGGTGACAATAAATAACCCGTCAAACTTTGAAGCAAACTATTATAAATTTATTATGATGCAGCCTTTAAATAAATGCATTTATCGATAGCTTGTACTTTTCTGAAACAAATATATTTACATTTTTGTGATTCCCATCCATTTGATATTTCTTTCGGGATGTCTAACAATCGTTGTGAAATTTTAAAACTGTTTCAACAAGGAAATCGCCAATGCGACATTGTTCGTTTGCTTGGCATACCAAAACAAACGGTCTCTGACGCTATCCGGCGATTTAATGAGCTTGGCCATGAAGGCCATAGTTAACATGGCCTTGCTAGTCATGCCCAATATATTTGACAAGATAACTTTAGGCATGGACTTTCTCTGCAAGATTCAAGCTACCCTGATATGTGGCCAGGTACGATGACAACTATCCTCACCGCCGCCCCATCTAAAGAAGAAGGGAGAACTTGGCACAATATTCAGCAGCTCGTGGTAGCGTGTCCATGGTTGGAGGGCTAGACAAGGATGTAGTACTAAAACATCGGTTACAGAACATCGACGGAAACGAATAGGTTCTATGTATTTACTGTGTACCTTGTCTTTTAATCTTAAGACATAAATTCATACGGCCGGGGCTTGAGCATTCCATTAATCCCTTTCGGGAACAGTGGTGCAGAAACGAGTTTTTATAAGTTCTTTAGAAGTCCAGTAGTCTGTGCTGGCACTATTGAGAATGAGGAAGCCTTTTAGTAAAATGAAAAAATGTCTTATAAAAAGGACTACCTCTGTTTTTGCGCGTCAAATCTTAGGCTATTTCTAAGTATCCAGTTGACCACTTGTGTCAACTGCCATCTTCTTTTTTAAGATAGCCAAGGGTTGTGCTTGTGTTTTCGATGTCGGAGCAGAAAGAGTTCCACGAGGATCGCTTTTCTTTTTAGATTGCTTTTTTGCAGGGAGTCGGTCTAGAGGCTTTTGTTGTTTGCGACTTTTGCTATATTGAACAAAGTTCAGCTTGCCATTTGAGGGTGGGTGTCTCTGACACGACTGAGTGAATTGCTGCAACAAGGTGTTAGAACAGAGTGAGCTGAGCATTAGAGTCACATAGTATTAGGAAGCTGATGCTGAGTTTCTCGCTAACTTCCGCTTTGCCCCTATATTGTCTGGGGTTTCATGCCTTTTGTAGGCCATGTATGACGACAGTTCTCGGATTGGAAATTTGGAGTCCAGAAACCTTTCCAACTACTATTTATGGTGCCTCGACCAGAGCTAATTGAGCAACATCCAAATGAAAAATGGTTTGGCTGGTTTGAAGGTTCCTCCATCGGCTCAACCTTTTCCATACGCCGATCTCCTTTTGAGAAAAGCGGTTACAGCGTTAAAGCATTGTGAGGATCTTACTCGTCTCCTAGGTTAGGTTAGGTTGAGGTCCTACCAGGGCCCCTTCCCCCTTCCAGGGCATTGGCACAGGAGGTGTCCGACTGTCTCTTCCTCTTCTACATTCCCACAGCTCCAGCAGTAGTCATAATGTGGCACCGCTATTCTAGCTGCGTGTTCTCCTATTAACCAATGTTCCGTGATGGCCTTGACTGCCAGACTGCAGTCCTGCCTATTGAGGGCAATAAGCGTCATTGATCTCTTCCTAGAGCGGATAGGCCATATCATGCGTGAATTCCTGCAGTTTTGGAGATTTCTCCATTTCCTCAGTGCTGCGCGGTCAAAGTGATCCCTGCATCTAAAACCTGCACGGTCGGGTGGAAGCATTGCGGTTATAAATCAGACTCGGCTTAATCTCCTCATCTTCTAACTTACAAACTAAAAATGATGAACTCCATCTGATATCTCTTAAATCTCAAAATGTTGGGCTTAAACTAGAATG